ATTGCTTGGTTAGATGTCACAGCGTTCATCCATTTTATCTTAACAGGTAAAGGACTTGGATAATCGTGGATTGTCAAGAACGTAATTTGCCTTCACATGTACCATAATGAGCACTGATCAATCCTTTCCCTATGAAGAAGATGAGTTTTTTATACTGTTTGTCAGTAAGGATTTGGGATTTAATTGCCCAAGAAGTCCCATCCTGATGCATTGAGTCCGTATTAGTTGGAATGATTTTTATAAATAAGAACCGGCTACCAAATCAGAAATAGTAGCTTTATGATGGAATAATTAAAAAGGTATGGAAAAGTGTGTATTCATGTTTATTTTCTTCCTTTACTTGATGATTCACAAAAGCATAAATGATAGATGCATACAACTCAAAGAAGGGTGTATTGAAGAAACTTTATTATCTGCCTCTCGTACGTGCCAATTCAGGCATACAAGAGCCCAGCTTTATCACTAGATCTCCATCGGGTTTGATATCCTGTTTCTCATACGGAAGGAGCCTATAAGCATAACTTGAAGGTGGCAACCTACTCTCCCTGAAGTCTTCACCTAGGTGGCATACTGCCTGTACCTGGAGCTCTCGTATAGTAGTCCTACCTATTGATCATTGGACCCCTTGTGCCAGAGGATTGGAGACTGGCCAGTGTAACACCAATTTTTTAAAAGGAATCTGGGAAATTGCAGCTTAACACCTGTTCTGAGTCAACTGCTTGAAAGCATAATTCAGTAAGCATGTAGATGCTTATCACAAGCTGAGATGAGAAATGGGCAGCATGGCTTCTGCAAGGGGAAGTCTTGCTTCACTAGTGTACTGGAGTTCTTTGAGAGTATCATCAAGCCCGTAGATGGATAATCCAGTAGACACTCTTTGCATGGACCTCAAAAGGGCTTTTGAGAAGGTCCCTCACGAAAGGCTCCCAAGCAAACTTAAGCAGTCAAGTAATAAAAAGGTAAGAACAGAAGACGGGGTGGGAATAAATGGCAACTTCTTCCAATAGAGAGCTGTGACCAGTGGAGTCCCAGTTAGGACCAGTTCTTTTTAACCTATAAATTATAATTTGGAATAAGTAGTGAAGTGGCCAAGTTTGCCGATAACACCAAATTATTTAGGATGGATAAAACCATAAAGGATTGCAAAGAGTTCCAAAGGGAACTCATTAAGCTCGGAGAATATTATGGTATTAAGTTTTTATCAGATGCCAGGAAAGCAGAAACCACCGTAAAACCATGTTGTGACAATACTGCGCACACGTGTTCGGAAGGAAGTCCCAGTTCGTTCAGCGATCTTCACTTAGAAACTGTAGCCCAGCACAGCCCCTCGGCTATGGACCGCCCCGTCGCACCCAAGGGCCTTCCAGCAACACGCGGCACCAAGACGCGCGCTCAGAAATGCGCCCTCTGGGGGCGCGGCGAGGGCTGCACGTGCGAGCCGTGGCTCCGCGCGTCGTGGGGCTCGTCCTTTCGCGGAGAGCGGCTTACGCGGCGCCCCGGGGGAGAAGGCGCACGGGCGAGCCGCGGTCCCTTGCGCGGCGGCAGGCGCGGAGGGAAGGCCGCCAGGGCCCGGCCGGCTGGGAAACGCCGGGCGTGGCGGGGCTCTCCCCGACTGAGCGTGCCTCGGGCGACCCGCCGCCCTCCGTCGCGCCGCCGCACGGCCGAGGCAGGCGCGGTGGGCGGAGCTGGCGCCGGAACCCGCGCCCGGCCGGCTCCCGCCTCCGCCCGCCGCTGCGCCGCCCCAACCTGCGTCGCCGTCGGGCGGGAAACGGCGCTTCCTGCGGGCCGGCGAATGGAGCGGGTGAGAGGCGTGCGCGGCGGATCCCTCGCTTGGGACGCGGCCCCATTTCTCCCTCTGCGCGCGGAAAGGCCGCCCCGCTGCAGGCTCGGCGCTGCTCTGCGGACTTCCTCTCCCCTGCGCCTCCTTTGCGCGGAGGCTTTGCTTGCTTGCTTGCTTGCTTGCTTGCGGTTTTTCCTGCGGGGAAGCCGAGGCGGTTTTCTCCATTCTCCTCCTTCTGCCCGTCTGGTCCTCGTGCCACTCCTGCACGGTAGGGTAGGCGGAGGGTCCAGCCAGAGCCACCCAGTGACCCTGGGGACTGGACCCCCGATTTCTGGAGTCGCAGCCCGAGGCAGCAACCGCTGTGCTGTGCGGGCTACGACCGGCTTGTTGTGTGCAACAACCCAGTGGGGTCGGCTGGGATGAGGATTGGCGACTGACCCAAAGTCACCCGGTGAGCTTCATGGCCAGGCGCGGCCTGGGGCTTGGGAATCGGATCTGCGAAGGCCCTGGCCAGCACTCTAAGCGCCAGGCCACGCCGGTTCAGTGCTCCTGAGCCGGGCAAGGGACTTTCGGGACAAGGAAGAAGCAGGCTGCAGGAGGAAATGTTGCAGCGCGGAGTGCGCCCCCCGTGCGCGCCTGCCGGCCCTGGCCTGTCCCCCAGTCACTCCATGCCGATCTGCTGCCTTCAGTTAGCCTAACCAATGGTCAGGAATGCTAGGAGTTGTAGTCCAAAGCATCTGGAGGACGCTAAGCTGGGCAAGGCTGCTCCGTTCCTGCCTGCTCGGTTGCAGTTGGATGGTTATTTTGTCCCCTTTGGTAATCAGAATTTTGTGCCTGTTGGCCGTACTTGGTCTTCAGCAGGCTGCTTTGGGGAGTCCCCTGCCTTTGATAGGGGTTTCCCTTAAGGTTTTCCTTCTGTACTTGTGTAGAAGTGCTGCCCCTGCCTGAAACTTGGATATTCCGGGGACTTCTTATTTATTTTTTTGCATGGCTGTTGCTATTCTGCATATATTAGGGTGGCTTCTTGGGAAATTAGTTTGTTAGAAGCATATATCCTGCTTCTAGATGCTGTGACTTGAGTTCTCATCAAACCTAACCAGCATAGACGATGGTCTGGAATGTTTGCAGTTGAAGTCCAAACTTCTGGACAATATCAGCTGGGGGTCGGGTAGGTAGGGGTGATTTAAACCCATGTGCAAGCAGGGGGGAGCTTGATCCGCCTTCCTTGCTGAGCTCTTCTGCCTTCCGTGAGTGGCTTGGCAGCAGGTGTAGGGTTTTCCTTAAGCCTTGTATTTACTGTCCTTGCGTAAAATACACCAGTTGAATTACTTCCTATTAAAGGTTGGTCAAAGTGGGCAGGCAGGGCACTATTGCAGTGAATGCTGGGACTGAACCAAGGGGGGGGCAACCTCACATTATACCTTTTTTGGGGGGGTGATCAACGTGCTGTGCCAAACACATTGGGCACTGTACTACAAATTACTACAATAGCCGTGCTTTACTGTTCAGGTTGCAATGTTATTGGTTCGTTTTATTTTTGTGCAGCTTATGGAATGTTTTGCATGACTATGATTTTATTTAGGGAGATTGTTTAGTAATTAAAATGTTTTTGAATGACTTTAGCACAATTTAAGATGCAGAGATAAACAGAATTTGGTTGCCTCCAACCTGGAAACAGCTGGAACTCACCTGCAGTAGAGTTGCACTGGGTGGGGTCGCAATTAAAGGTCCAACTTTTTGCTCCGTTTCTGGTAGGGTCCCAGCCAAGTGAGGTCAGAATAGTGTGTTTATTCTAAGGCTGCCTAAACTTTAAGCATCCACCTTGTAGCTGTAGGTGACAAGTAAATGAGTAAGCCAATGTGGGAAGGGTGAGGTTCTTAGTTTTTGTTCTGTATCTAGTATATGAACAGTAGGAGAAGACAACGGAATATAAAAATACATTGGCAACTGCAGGATTTATTTATTTAGTTATTTATTTAGGCGACTTCTATGCCGCCCCATTCGCTGAAGCCTCGGGGCGGCTCACAAACCATAAATAAAGTCCAATAAAACAATATAAATTAACAATATAAATTAAGTCACCCTGGCCAAAGAATAAAATGAATAAATAATATTGACAATCAAAATAACATTTGAATAAAAAGGTCTTCGCCTGGTGCTGAAAAACAAATAACGATGGCGCCAGGCGGACCTCTCTATTGGAAGTTCAATTGTGAGCCGCCTAGAGATGCTCAGTTTATGAATATTTTAATGGAGTTCCTCTACCTACAGTTAAGGCAGGTGTGCATGCAAATTACGTAGAAAACTATGATTTAAATCTAGCCTTACTGACTAGTGTTTTAAATCCACCCTTTTAATAACCAGCAGTAATCAATGCAAGACATGGAGATCTCATCACATGCTGATAAATGCTAAGAAGAAAGGAAGAGCCTGGCCCCCAAATTATAATAATACTGTTGCCAGGTGGGTCTGGCTAGCAAAATTGTTTGTTTGGTTGCCTACCACCAAGAAGGCTTTTTTGGAACCTTCCAATTTAGCCTTGGAGAAAGGCCTTATATAATGAGAGTAGTATATGAGCAGGTTCATGCCAGGAGAGGCACTCCATCAGACATTATGGTCCTGATCCATGTAAGTTATTATAGGTCAAATCATCCTGGTTGTCTGTGAAGAAATAAAAGATTTCCTTGGTGATGCTTGACTTACCCAGTTCTTACTTTGTCGATCCATAGAGCCATCTATCAACATGGCCGTGCCTTTTGTGGAAGATTGGGACTTAGTCCAGACACTTGGAGAAGGTGCTTATGGAGAGTGAGTATGAGTAGCTTAGAACATGAACAGAGCCTGTGGAAGTAGCATAATGCTTGCAGAGCAAGGGTAAGCTGTAAATTGAAGCTGGTGTCATGTTCTGCTGCTGGGGGATTGTACATGTGAAGATCTGGGTTGTGGAGTCACATGTATTCTCTGTGTGGATGGTAGGCAAAGGCTAGACTCAGATAAAACTTCCGCAGTACTTGCTAGTCTAGAAAGCCTAGTTGTAAGTCTTCTTTCCGCCTCCTCTTTAGAGTTCAACTAGCGGTGAACAGGCGCACTGAAGAAGCAGTTGCAGTAAAAATCGTGGACATGAAACGTGCGATAGAGTGTCCAGACCAGATTAAGAAGGAGATCTGCATTAACAAAATGTTAAATCATGAGAACATTGTGAAGTTCTTTGGCCATCGGCGAGAAGGCACCATCCAGTATCTCTTCCTAGAGTACTGCAGCGGGGGAGAACTCTTTGACCGAATTGGTAAAGGAGATTTTGCAGGGATGGGTTGATACTACTTGCGGGAATATTACACAAGTAATGCAGCAATTTGTATTCACTTCTTTTTCAGATCTAAGGGATCACTTGAGGCTTGTTTAGAAGAAGTCTATTTTAAGTGATACACTGATTTTCCTTTAGACCTTGTCCAGAGTGGCTCATAATAAACATCAGACAACAAAATGCTGCATCTTGAAATTAAACCACCTGTTGAAATTTCATTTGGGCAGCAGCTTGTGCCTGCCAAGGCATCTAAGGAGATTAAATGCTGGTTTGCAGAACATGACGGCTTATCAAGACCTATCCTTAGCTTGGGTGGCTGTGATTGCCATCCTGAATATTTGGCCTTTGTTTGGGGTGATTGTACATCCTGCAAAACATCATGAATTGATCAAGGCTGATCCACACTTAACCCAAGTAATAAGCAGTGGCCATGCATACCTTATCCACACCTGATGGATAAACATGGTTTAATTAATACTTGATAATTACTGTGAAGTGTAAAGCAAATCCAACCGTTGCTGCACTGTAGTTGAGCTCTTTATAAAGAATTGCATTGCTGATGTGTGGGGCCTGGGATTCTGTGTGTGTGTGCGCGTTTTCGTTTCAAACTTATCCCTGAGCTATACAGATGGAATAATTTAGACATTTATTTAAAACTGCATTTAGGTTGTTGGTGTTTCCCAAAAATCAGGGGCAAGCTGTGCTTTACAGCTGTGCTTTACTTCTGTTCTTGTAATTGAATGGTGCTGTGTCAAATGGTTCGAACATAAATGCACAAAAGTGTGTGAAAAGCTTTGGTTCTGCAGTAGTATGTGTATAAAGATGCATACATTGCATGGTCTCTTTTGGTGTTATTGCAGAAACTGTTAAAATGTAGCAGTTGTTTATAAAAGGAATTACAGCAACTTGGTTTTGACAGTTCCAATTTCCAGCTTAACCTGGGAGTGTACTAATGCAAAGCACACTATTTTCGTAAGTTGGCCATAGCTTATAAAATGACACAGCCTGACACCCCAAGAGGAATGCATTATTGTCTTACCAAGTGATCTATATACACAGAAGGATGTGGTTTGTGGGCTTGGCTGTCACATTATTTCAGAGACATGTAAATGCATCCAAAGCTAAGCACCTTGAGAGTAACCTAAAATCATTTTATAAACTTCTAAAGAATCCATGTGTGTTCAAATTAGAATGCCTCTTGCTCTTGTAATTATTACTATGAGGCATACTCTCCCAACTGCCAGTGATATCTTTTGCAGTAAACATTTCAGGACAAATAGCCAGAATGTTCTAGCAGGGAAAAAAAGTTTCTAACGAAGACTATCTGTCCTGTTAATTTCTGCATAATGAAATGGTGTCTTCCACCAGAACCTGATATAGGGATGCCTGAATCAGAAGCCCAGAAATTCTTCCACCAGCTTATAGCTGGTGTGGTAAGTTTCTCTGTTGTTTTTTTCAACTTTTCTTCCCCTCCCTCCCTCTCTCTTTTGATGAATGTGCAATTAATAATTAATCTCACTTTTAAGGTCTACCTCCACAGTATAGGAGTAACACACCGGGATATTAAACCAGAGAATCTTCTGTTAGATGAGAGAGGTAAGAGAGAAACCATTTTGCTCTAGTGATTTGAAAACCTGTGGCTTCTAGAAAATAAGAAAAACTTATTTCAGATCTTAGGCATAATCTATCCAGATGCAAGAAAATAAGATTCTTTATACTGATTCAGGCCATTGGTCTATCTAGGTCAGTGTTGTGGACACTGACTGGCAGGAGTTTTTTTCCAGCTGTTCTGCATTCTGTTTTCAACCTTGATTCACCAGATACCTGTGGAAAGCCTGCAAGCAGGGGGTGAAGACAATTGTCCCCAGAGGTATCTTTTTTGATTCAGGAGATTCTGTGTGACCGTCCCCTCAACTCTTCCGTTTGGAGCAAGGAAATGATAGACAACTCAGTATCTCCCATTAATATCAGTGTGATATTTCTCAGCTGCCGTGCTTAGGATCACTCAAGTTCTGTTCAGGCATTATGCATGCCCCTTTAAACAAACATTCAAGGGAGAAGCACAAGTTCTGTCTCCCATCGTTACTTCCTCAAAGATCCTTGTAGCATTTCGTATTTGTGTAGCATCCTCATGCTATTTAGAAGCCAGATTTTCCAGGACTTGTGCAGGGAGCCTAGACGAGGATACATAAGGTGGAACACTCCAGATGTTTTGGATTACAACTCCCCAAGCTCCTGACTATTAGCTATGCTGGCTGGGGATTCTGGGACTTTCAGTCCAAAGCTTCTGGTGGTCTCCAGGTTGCCTGACCTGGATAGGGTACATAGTATGGTTCCCTCAGGCAGATGTTCACCCTCAGGATGTAGCAGGTTGCAATGTTCATCCTTGCTTTCTCTCTCGAATGTGCATGATGCACTCTGGCAGGGTGCCTGAACAGGGCTTCAGCTGTTTGCAAAAAAGATTGCTTGTCATTTCCAGCCACATGAACTGCATCTGTGAGTTAAATAATGCATTCTAGATTGATTGTGCATTAATGTATATCAAGCAAAGTTGATTAATCTTAATGTTTTGCTTGTATTTGCCCAGATAACCTCAAAATCTCTGATTTTGGGCTAGCAACTGTGTTTAAATACAATGGCCGTGAGCGACTGCTGAACAAAATATGTGGCACACTCCCATATGTTGCCCCCGAAGTCTTGAAAAGAAAAGAATTCCATGCTGAGCCTGTTGATGTTTGGTCATGTGGAATAGTGCTCACTGCAATGCTGGCAGGAGGTAAGAGCCATCCAAATTTTAGTCTGTTTGTTCATGCAGACTTTTCTCATACAATTAGTGACGCTTACACAACACTGGTCCAGATAATCTATGCAGAGCATGCATAATTTGCCAGGATCTTTACTTAAAACTGTATAGCCATAATCTGAAGGTAACCACATCATCTGCTGGAATGTGAAATGCTTAGCTAAACCAGGACAGAAAATAAATTATCAGGCGGTTTTCTTACTCACAACTTCTCTGCTGTTTATTAATCTATAATGACTACAAGCGTATTTTAAAGCCATGAATGACCGTGTTTCTAACCAGCCATATAACTAATATGGTTAACAGGGACCCCGATATAGGGCAGGATTCCACTGTGCCCTTGCACTGGTGAGATCAAATGGAGCTTATTTGTGGAATGAGGCCGATCAGTGGAACTAGCAGAGAAGAGCTCTGCTGACTTCTCATAATCTGCACGGTAGCATTTCCACTCCTTTCTGGGGTTAGACTTGTAGAAGTTGAGTTCTTGAGGTGGTGGGTCTTGTGAGCTCAGCAGAACCAGCAGAGGTGGAACAGCCCCGAATATTGTTCATGGTTCTTGGTATCTTTTCCTTTTTGCTTGCTGAAATTCAGTTAAGATCCAGCCTTCTAAATATTTTTCCTGGCTCCTGACAATTGTCTAAAAGTATGACTTCTTTTCTTGCAGAATTGCCTTGGGATCAGCCTAGTGACACTTGTCAAGAATACTGTGATTGGAAAGATAAGAAAATGTATCTTTCACCATGGAAGAAGATTGAGTCATTGCCACTGGGTACCTCATTTGACTGACTGACTGATCTTATATTGGTTTGATGGCAGTGTGTGCATTTCCTCATAGTGGTATTTCTCAGAGTACAGGATATAGCCTTCAAATGACACCTGAAAGCCCCAGACCCTGGTTCTTGTACAAAACTGAAGGATTTAAGGGAAGTTGTGATGAAAGCAGGTTTTGAGAGACTTTCTAGTCTACTAAAGACATCATTATTTGAGCATCTTTTTCCTGAAAGACCAATCGCAGTTTATTGATACAACAAAATTTTAAACATTTTTATTCTTTTGAATTTTACTTTTTCCTTACTATTCATTGCTCACCAGGAAATTTTTTAGTTACAGAGCAGTTTATAAACCTTGAAAATAAATGAGATGTGATTTTGTGGCCTCCCTGCATCATCTGGGAAATTATTGGATTCTTTGGGGGCCCCGCTGTGAGCTCCTGTGACCTTGGAGCTCCCTCTGAAGGCCAAGCCCCTGCCCTGCTGCCCTCGTAGTGGTGTGGGAAGGACCTTCCTGCGCTTTCAGCTGAGCCTGTGAGGATAAGCCAAGGGATGTACTGGGGACGGGCTGGGGAGGAGACTGGCGCTGGGGACTTGCACTAATTCAGCTTGGTGCCCCAGCCTCCTTTTCTCCTCTTCCCTGCCACCAAATTGAGACAGGTGCCTGGAGCCATCTAGGGAAGATGCCTGTGCCAGGCAAGGTGGCAGTGGAGATCACCAGCGCCATGTCTTGCGCTAGGTGGAGGACGCATGTAACCATCTGAGCTTGGAGACGTCTGTGTTTTCGCCATGGGAGTCATAGGACTGTGCCCTGAACAAAATAAGAGCTGCTGTTACAGAGCCTTGTCGAGACAACTCCTGAGGTGTAGCCCATATCTAACAAATGTATATCTTTGCAGCTTTACTTCTCAAAATACTAACCGAGAACCCTGCATCAAGACCTACCATTGCAGAAATAAAAAAGGACAGGTGGTACAACAAACCTTTAAAGAAAGGTAATTGTATTTTAAATTCATATTAGTTTAGCTTATTGCGTCCTCTTGGGACATTTGCAGGCAGTTTAATGATACCTCTGTACTGTATAGCTTTTTAACACGTGCAGCCAAAATAACTTTTTTAAAGCCTTGATACATTTATTTTAGGTCCAATTTATTTTACCCTTAACTTGAGCATGGTACTAGCTTCAAGGATTTCTTTCACTTTTTCAAACCCATGTCGATTGGTCCCATTTCTCAGATTCTTTCTGTATCTGTGTTTGGGTTCAAAGCAGGTAAATAAGATATATTTTAGATGATAAATCCTTCTAATGTTATTTTTCCCACGTGAGTAATTTATGGGAATGCTCATCTGAATTAAAATCATGATATGGAAAGGAAGTGTACTTCTATTGTTTGTATCTACCTACTTATTCTAAAAATGGAAGGAGATTGCCAGTGTGATGATTCTGCCGATGAGTTGGTGGTGTTCTCACTTTCACTTGAGCTGAATTCAGGGTTGATCCAACCATTACTAAAACCTGCATGGGATGCTGTGAGGTGGCAAAGGCAAGCGAGCCTTTGTGTTTAACTTCCTTTGGGAAGAAGGACAAAGATAAACTAGCATAAAGCTGCAGGGAGTCCATGTGGGAAAACACCAGCCTTTAACCTAGCGTGTAAGCACACACAAAATGCTAAAGGTTCACGCAGCCGTCGTAGTATGAATGTGTAAAATTAGTTTTTCTGAGCACTGGTAACAGCATGTCTTTTTGCCTAGGCATAAAGCGTCCTCGGGTCTCCTCAGGGGGACCCACCGATTCTCCTGGAGGATTTTCTAAGCACATTCGATCAGATATGGACTTCTCTCCAGTTAAAAGTACACACAGGTGAAAATGCCTCAATAATATTTTATCTTGAACAGTTTGGCAATTTTGAAATTGAATTTATTTGAAATAAAAAACCTGCTTTGGTTACAGATATAGACTGCCTTCAAATCTAGTTCCAGTGTGAGGAGCGGGGAGGTTCTGGCTGCAATGTCTTTAATTTCATTTTACTATTTACAAATACCTGTTCATAGCCTTCCCCCCTGCACCTAACATATTTCCTCCTGAACATTATCTGTCAGTGAATTACTTAGAAACTGAGATCAGAATATAAAGTTCAGGGATAGAATAGGGGCTCATAGAAAGATTAATGTGCTGTATGATCTTTTTATTTGGCCAATATTTTAACACACAGTAATTTTAATTGTGAAATGATTTATTTAATTTATTTTAACAATGCTCATTGTGGGATAGTTAATTTATTTTATTGAAGTTCTGAAATAATGTTGTAAGCTGTCCGGAGATAACAATAATGGACAGCATACACAATTTTAAATAAATAAATGAAAATGAAGAGGCTGTTATAATTGTTGGATTGACCCATACAGCATTCTGTGTTACAGTTGATTTTCTGGAGGAGTTTTAAAAGGTTATGCTCATCTTTTGCACTGTAGGGATTTGACACTTCATGGTCAGCTAGAGATAAGTTTCTCTAATTGTCACAGGCAATGGTATATACATTATGGTATTGGCATATCACATGGGCCAACATATCTAGCAGTACACCTTCAGTGTAAATAGTGCTGGGAAACGTGACATTGTGATATGTTTTAGTAATAGAACGGCCATTGTTTTCATTTCTGCAGCGAGGATAAAAAGACCTGTTCCTATTCCCAGCCTGAACCAGGCACCAGTCTTTCCTTGTGGGACAGCAGTCCAGCCGGGATTGATAACCTAGTGCAGGGAATCAGCTTCTCCCAGCCAGCCTGCCCTGAGCACATGCTGCTAAACAGCCAGTTACTGGGAACACCAAGTTCTTCACAGGTAACATTGACCTGCAGCCGTAGACACTGGCATGGCCAGTGGAAGAGTAGCTTGTTGTTGAAAAGTGTACTGGTACTTTTGCTTTCATATTTTGCCTTTCCCATTAATCTCAACCATGGTGTTGGGTCACATGCAGAAATCATGTATGGATTGTAATAATTTCTGTAAACACGCATTTAGCAATCAGCATCACCAATGTGCAGTTTTGATGAAAACTCAAGAAGCAGCTTTAATTTTAAAATCACATTGTTTTGGGGTTAGCTTCCAGCTGGTTTTCTACATTGTTGTCTTCCTTTCTCTTAGAGCCCATGGCAGCGCATGGTGAAGAGAATGACCCGTTTCTTTCTGAAGTTGGATGCTAACCAGTCCTACAATGTCTTGAAGGAGGTCTGTGAAAAGATGGGCTACATCTGGAAGAAAAGTTGCATAAACCAGGTATAAAGAGTTCTCAGAATTGAAATTTATGCACTTTTGGCCAGGAGACAATACACTAGAAATCATTGTTTTATTGAGTTCAAAACTGTAGAGGTGATCTTTAGCCAGATCCGTGGGGACTAAACACCACTGAGCATTATGGGATTTACTTCTGACAAATATGGTTAGATTTCCTTGTAAACATTCCCATCCTGACAAACTGTTATTTTTCCTTGCAAGATCACCATATCAACCACAGATAGAAGAAACAATAAACTGATTTTCAAAGCAAACCTGATGGAAATGGATGACAAAATTCTTGTGGACTTCCGTTTGTCTAAGGTATGTCAACTTCAGCAAAAACTTTAATTCCAATAAGCATAGAAAGAGCTTGATGATTTTGGTACATTAGATGCTATCTAAGAAACGAATCCTACTTTAAAAAGCAACCAGTCTATTTATGGCACCAGTATAAAGTATTTGGTTTGTGCTGTACATCCCTGCTCTTAATCCTTGAGAGATTTAGCAAGTGATATATCTCCAATTTTACTGGATTACCAAATATGTTTAATTTACACATTTTGTACTTTGCAGTGAGAACATCATGAATGCGTTTTCATTTGTTTGTGTTTTCTCTCTCCCCTCCCCCCGCCCCCATGTAGGGAGATGGTTTGGAGTTCAAGAGACATTTCCTAAAGATCAAGGGGAAACTGACTGATGTTGTCAGTGCACAGAAGTTATGGCTTCCAGTCACATGATCGCATTGTGGTTTAAAGTGCGTTCATTTTGATTCAAGAGTTTTTGCCTAGGAGACAGTTAAGCCTGCCATGTGCTTCACTTGAGACTTTCAGTAGGAAACTCGTGTTTTTCTGGTGACAAGTTTACAAATAATGTCCATATGACAACAGGTAATGGCTATTGTGAAAGTGCAGCTCTGTTAGGGTATCTCTTGATCCAATGGGGGTCATGAGAATTGCCAGTGGGTTGCCTTTGTTTGGGTTCTTGGACTGAATTCTTTCTGCAAGGAATGCAATATTTTTGTAAGCCAAAAGCACATTTTCCTTCTTTTTCCAAACTACACGCTGAACTTGGTAGGGCAGAGGGAGAGAAAGCTGCTTGTTTTTAAAGGATAACAAAAGTTATCCCTGCTTGCTCTGCTAACACGTATTTTTTTTAAAAAAAATCTTAAGCAACAGTTCATTTTGTGTAACTGTGACTTGAGCCAGTACAATAGTCAGATTTCAAACTGAGGATCTTCCACTTTGTCTAGTTTATAAATAAGTCCTTAAATGAGGTGATACATTTCTAGTGCTTTGCCTTGGATTTTTAAAGAAAATGCAGAACACGAGACTCAAGTTGATTCTTCCCATTCTAAATAAGGTGCTCAGCTTTTTCAGGGTCTAGCTCTTTTCCCCTCCCCTCTGACCAGACTTTGTTGAGCCTCTGAAATTAACATGAAGTGGTGAGAAGGATTAACATTTCCTCACATTTCACCACCTCCTTTCCTGAGAGGTTCTAGACATTTCGCTGTCATGTTAACTGTGTTGATCTCTTTGAACCACGTATCCAACTGATCATACTTAAAGGTACCATTGTGGATACAGAGAAGTATAGGGAGACAAGATACAAGCTTTGTTTCTGAGTGTGTTTCTGACTGATTATATTTAAATCTGTAAAACTGGGACATTTTAAGTCTAAGAAAACAAAACCATGTACAAAATAAAGTGTCTTCTTAAACTGAAAGAGAAGAAATGACTGGCAGTACTGTGCGGAATGCTTAACTGAGTCAAAGAGAGTGCAGTTGTGGCGATTCAGAGTCTCAAGTTGCTTGGGAAAGTATTCTATGTTTTGTATGGATACCACATTAACTTTTTCTGTACTGTTTTTAGACACGTACAAATCAGTCTTTGTTTCTCCAAAGTAAAGTATCTCAGAGTTATTCTGTTAGGAGGGTTCTGATGTGTTTCTGGGCAGGTTGCAGCACCGTGTTGCTTCTTGAAGCAATTGATTTCCTTTCATTGAACAAGCAATTGTTTTTGGTGCATGGTGAACTAAGAGGCAGAATTGCTCCCTTTCCATATATATTATGCTTAACTTCTGTTCAAATACAAACTACCTCCGTATTATATTTTATATTAATTTTAAGCATGAAAAATACAAACTTGTTCCTCTGAGGAGGTCAAGGCAGCTTACATGATCCTCATCTTCCTCTTCATGTTTTCCTCCCAAATCCTGTAAGTTTAGGTCAGGAGCCAGTGACTGGCCTGAAGTCACCCCGAGAGCTTCACGGCCAACCCAAGTCTCCTGCATGCCTCTCCGGCCACCCAGCCTCTGAACCACACTGGCTCTCCACTGATGGAGGGATGTTTTGGTCTTTTCTGTTAGAGTGGGGATTCTAGTGGATTGATTTACAAGTTACTCCCAAAGGTTAAGCGAGTTTATAGATGGGTCGCACTTAAACACTTGAGAAGTGCTACCCTACATCAGTAGTTCTTACTGGCAGAAGAAAGCAAAAACACCAGCCACCAAGGACATTGCTAATAAATTTAAGTGGGGAATAACGTGAAGGATGCTAATAGCAGCCTTTTATTTTTTGTTCTGACAAGCCTTTGCCATTTGAAACCTTTCTAATTTTGCAGAAAAGAGACTAAGGCTGAGTGACTGAGGGACATATGTATGACTCTGTAGATCCACACCAAGCGCCTTGTTTTCTGGACCTCCAGCACTGGGTTAATCTAAGAGGAGGCTTCTGTTAGTTCCTTGTTCATTCCTAGCCCACGTTTCAAATAAACAAACCAGCTCTCAGTGTCACTGTATGATCCGTGCTAGTGCGCCTCCATTGATTAGCCAATCTCTGCATCAGGCTTTGATTCATGGTCTCACAGAGACACATTGACCTTTTCCCGGTGATTGGATGCAGCATTTATGGCACACAAGTAGCATTTTGGTGCGCTTTGCTTCAGAAGAACAGAACACAATGCCTCTGTCTGGACTTTCAAGCATCAAGGATGGTGCTGGATGCTTTGATCCAGCTAGTGGTGGGACGGTCTCAGTGAGTGGGCTTTTTATGCTGCTGTCAGTACAAAATTGCAGGTCATAGAGATACAAGTAGTAAAGACTGGATTGCTCAGGTGAAATTTTGGACATCCCTTTGCATGTGATGGTGAGACTGCTTGTGCAACCCATGGAAATGCTCTGACCAACACCGTCCCTTGCCTCTTCGCATATGCACAGACACCCATCTCATTCATGCACACCCATGCGCAAGCCACAGTAACAACGATCAAGAGGAGAACAGTGGCGATGCTAATAGTTAGGATACAGTATCCTCACAGCCACACGGGAAAGAAACCTTAGGAACATACGCACACAAAACCAAAGACTTGTATGCACGCACACACTGGACACACATCTGCAAAGATCTGGCCATCTCTGTTGCGCACACACCCCAGCTTCTGGGCACTTGAATCTTGTCCAAAACAATTCCCCAAACTTGCAGCATAAAGGCATCATCTCTGGTTGGCCAGTCAAAGTAGCAGCCTGAGCTGAGCTCGACCTTTCAAAGCTGTTCTAATGAAGGGTGTCAGCACCGCCTGCCAAGCAGGCTCCTAAGCCAGTTTGCTCCTGGAGTGGCACTCTGAGCATGTGTGAAAATCATGCATGTGCATCATTCAACTGAAGCTGCCGCACTCCAGGAGAACCTGTTGCAGTGTGGCCTCCAAGAAGCCGCCAACAGCCGCCAGCAAGCAGGACCCTTGCTAGTTGCAAGGTGGGTGGGAGGCGGAATGCCTCTGTGACACCCAGAACACCTTTCTGGGACCAGCGCAGTGGGTAGGGTAACAAGACGCACGTCCAGCTACATAGAGGAGGTGGTTAGCTAGTGGCTAAGTGCGCCACAGCTGGTGAGAGAGCTGGATTCTGGCTCCAAGGAGTATCCAAAGAATCCTTCTGTACCTTCTAATTACTGTGTAGATAACAGAGGGTGAGTAAGAGTCGCTGCAGCTAAGGAGCAGGTACATAATTCCAGCACGGGCTGAATAGCCAGTCAACCAAGGAAAAACAAGTACTTCTGGATTTCCCCCACCCTCAGCAAAGGAAAAAACCCCACTGCTCTTTGGCCCATCTGGTGGAAGAGGCTTTGTATTCTTCCGATGCTATTTGGACCTGATTTGAGGGGTTGTCTCTGTTTCTCTGAACTTTCAGCATGAAAACGCAGGTGAATAACGGGTTGACTCTTGGCTTCTGCCTGATGCTCTCCTTGGCAGTAGGTAAGTCCACAAAGGAGACCAAGGGTGAAGCGCTGCAACAAAGGTGATAGGACTTCATGGATAGAAGGAACCACGAGCCATGCCTTAGGGGGGAGCAGCTGAACTTAGCCTGGATTTGAGAGGCTTCCTCACTCTGCAGCAGGGGGAAATGCCAGTTGAGCAGCTGCTTGCGGAAGCCAACTGGCTTCTGCAAGGCAGAAATTTTTTCTTCGTCCTTTTGAATGTAATCAGGTTTGTGGTACCAGCCAGTGGCAAATGGTCAACTTGTCCAAATGTTTAAAGTAACCCTTCCCAAGTCGGTGTCTTCTGCATGTGTTAGATGGCAACTTCCATTAGTCAGGATGCCCAATTAGCAATAACTTTACTTTTCAGAAGTAAACTGTGGCTGCAGGACACCTGCTGTTTGGAAAGAAATGCATTCACTTCTATGGGAGCATCAGTGCATTGACATCAATGTGCTGGGCCTCAACGTCCACACTGAGACCGCCATGGGGCGCAGTGGTTGGACGTTTCCTACTCCATGCTAAAAGACTTACAGAAATTTGCCTTATGATTTCCTGATTCATATTCTCTCTCTCTCTCTCTCTCTCTCTCTCTCTCTCTCTCTCTCTCTCTCTCTCTCTCTCTCTCTCTCTCTCTCTCTCTCTCTCATATATGCTTGCCTTCTCCCCACCCCCTGCTTTTGCAAGAGAACTGCATTTTATTTTGTAGGGAGGGGGAAAAGGTGCTAGCCCCATCATCTTTTGCTTGTCTCACACAGTTGGAGGACTCCACTGCTATTTTTGTCAGAAGATTAAACCAGATAATATATGTTTCTACCCTGAACGTACCTGCCATACATCTGCATACTGCTTCATTCGGAGGGTTTCACAAGGTAACTCTGGGCAAGAAAACTCTTTTGGACAAAATATTTGATCAGATGTAAAGGAAGGCTTAAATGCTGTACCTTTAGTAATTGCCCTAGAGTTTTGGGCAACTGTGGAAGGTTCACGGGATAAATGAGTCTTTGCTTTTCCCTTTGGTCAAAACACTCACATGGGGCAAAATTTAATTTCTGCCAAGGCTTTCCTAGGCTCATTTCTGTCATCCCTTTTACCAGTGTTAAGATATTGCCTTGGACATGAGAAATGAAATTAATAAAATAATTCCTGAACTGCCTTTAACGCTGTGTGTTGAAGAGTGATGGAACATCAGAGCTTAGGGGGAAAGAGTTTACAGAGTGGATGGTGAATTTCTAGGACAAGCATATCTCTTTTTCTAGAAGTTAAGCACTAATGTCAGAGCTGGTTAGAACGGGCGCTGTCCTGCCCAAGAGTCGTTATTTCGGTCTGGTGCTCAGACCTTCATTGCTCAAGTGGATTGCACCAGTGGTTGTCCTGTTAGCTTGGGTCATTTGTTAACTTATGTAGCATTGGGATGAGCAGCATTTCATAGAGTACAAGTCACTGCCCCAATGAGCCTACAATTTAAGGTCTGGCATAGGGAAAATGACATTCCAGAAGTATTCAATCCATTTTGTATGTATCTATTTGTACATTTATATTCTAATTGATTGAAGATGCATATTTTGAGGGGTCCTTTTTAACATTTTTATAGCTTGGCAATGGATGCCAAAGGCCACTGCACACTGAAGATCCTGAAATAATTGCTGCTTTCTTCTGATTGGTTGTGATAAGCCAATCAATCCTCCTCAATCAAATTCCCCTTAACTTTTTACATCTTTTGGTAAGCGACTCCTCGTTCCTTTTCTAAAAGGGGATTTGCTGTTGCACATTTTTGCACCTGGGCAGCACAAATTGGTTTGTTGCTGATGACATGAATTCTTTGTTGAAATGCAGCTCCACAAACACAAACAGGGATGGGCAAATTCCACTCCTGGTAATTTCTCATGTAATGGACTGAGTGCTGGAAGAACAAAACAAGAACCTTGTAAGAACCACATGCAGATGCCAAGCGAATGCTCTGGAAATTCCACAAACAGCCCCTTCACCATGATCAGTCTCTCTCTTTTTACTTTCTTTCACAGGAAGTATCATCAAACATGTCTCCCGAGGTTGCACCTCATCTTGCCGAAGCTTCCTAAACCAGAGAAAAGTGCTTTGGAACCAACAGTTTTGTTGTGAAAATGATTTCTGTAATGTGCATAATGTTTGGCAGTAAACGTTGCTGGGTATGTTTGTCGTTGCCGTTCCATTGCTACAGCTCCCAGTTGCATATTCAATATTCGCATTCGATGCCTTGTGATTTTGCTATCACCAGGGACACATGGGTGACCAACCTGGTCATGTGGACAGTGGAGGATGACAGCATCTGGACTGCCGCCCGCTGAGCACCCAACAGCTGGGCGAGGTCTGCTTGCTTTAGAAGGCCTTTCCGCAAGCGGAATCTCTGCAGTAGTGAGGTCTTCTGGCATCCAGCAGGTGCTAACTCTGAATATGCCCGAGGGAAGAAGTTCTGGAGAAGACTTCTGGAGGG